GACATGTGCCCTGTACGCCCCTGTGCTCCACTCCCCAATCCAGAGAGGGAGCAGGACGGGCTCCTCCCAGACCTGCTCTGTACACTCACCTCACCACACACACACACACACACACACACACACGCACACACACGCACACACACACGCACACACACACGCACACACACGCACACACACGCACACACACACGCACACACACACGCACACACACAGGCACGCACACACACACAGGCACACGCCGTTTCAAGGAGGTTTTTACATGGCTGCACTCATCCTCTAGGTGTTGTTCTGCAACTGCTTTTTTCACTTCACAATCCCACGTGCTATTTATATCTTCTTCACTTCCTCGTGGGATTTGAGGTTTACCAGAGCTGCAGAAAGGACGTGGACCTGGAGGCACGCTGACCTGGATAGAAACCCCGGTTCTGCCACCACATCTGGGTCACCCAGTCCCTAAGCTCTCCGAGCCCAGTTTCCTCATCTGTGAAATGAGATAACAACAGCAGTTAGCTCATGCTCAGGGTGGGGCTTCACTATGAAACGACTCAAGGGTGTTCAATAGTTTCAGATCCAAAGCCGCCCTGGGGCTTTGCGCACAGGGATTTAAGAGCCTGGAGGCAAGGGGTGGGCCCGATGGTCTCTAGAGCTCAGATCCTAGGGCCTTGAGTCCTCCCTCAGCCAAGACTGAGAGACAGAGGAGGGAGGGCAGCCACGCTGCGGCCGGGAGACCTGCGTTGCTGGGCGCCCTGCTCCTGCACACCCGGAGAGGGCGCCTGGCCCCAGAGCAGGGGGGAAGCAGCCGCTCTGAATAAACGTCTGCCGATGTCCAGGAACGAGTCTCCCCCGTGCCATCTTTTCTCTTCCGAAGCCCGATGGAAGCCGCTTCTCCCTATTCTGAAAATGGGGAGACTGAGGGCAGGGAAAGTCAGAGCCTCCAGACATCATCTGGCCCAGCTCCCTCATTTGACAGATGAGGAATCAGACCCAGAGGGGAGGAAGGTAAGATGTGGGGACAGTCCTGGTCTAGAGTTAGTAGAGAAACGCTCACTACGGTCGGGGCCAGATGTTTTACGTCATCCTCACCAGCCCAGTGCGGTAGGTATTGTCGTCTCCCAACGCGCAGGCCAGAGGCCTAGTATCTTCCACAAGGGAGCACCACCAACGGCAGCCACAGCTAGAACCCTGGCGAGTGAGTCTCACCCGGCAGCTCCCGACTCTCTCCTCCTGCCAGTCCCCACCCTGCCCTTCCTTCCTGGCCCGCTCCAGGGCCTCGGTCCCCCAGCAGGAGGCCACTCTACCACCCTCCTGCACCCCAGCGACTCCTGAGCTCCCTGCCTTGACCACGAATCTGTCTTCTCCCCCGAGCCGTGAGCCCTCGAGGAGAAAGAGTCAAATTCTGATATGTCTCTGGGTGCCCACACCCAGCACACACAGGGCCCGGCACAGAAGCAGAAAATGCGAACGTTCACGGAAGGAAAGGAGACAGTGGGGGCATTCCAAAGCCCGTGCTCTGTCCTCTATCCCACAGCTCCTTCGGCAGAGACAAGAGCAGGAGATGAGGCTGCAAGATTTTATCCCGCAAGTGGCCTCCTCCCTCCCCACTACCCATCACTGCAGTGCCCCTTCCCCGGTCCCCAGCCTCCCTCTCCCATAGGCGAGTGTCCCTCCCTGCCTCCCCTGCTACGTTGCCCACAGCTCCCGGGACTGCCCTGCCAACCTCAGTCCCCCTGGGGCCCAGGCCTCAGTAAGGGCTCCCTCCCCAGGGTACCGGCCTTAATCGGATGAAAGGCCTCGACAGCAGGCCACTGGGGGAAGGGCTCGGAGCCCAGCCTTGCCTGGGCCTGCGGAGCAACTGAGAAAGTGGCCAGCTCCTCCACCAGGGCCACCCTCCTGCTCCTGAGCCTGCGTGGTCCGCGCTCCCTCCCGAGCTGGGTAGGGGGCTGGGGAGACTCCTAGTGTTTGTCAGCCAGAGAACCATGGTTGGGGAGGACTGTGTTTCCATGGATACAAGCCACGGGAGCTGCGGGGAGATGGGGCCATGGTGTACACAGACACAGATCCACGCAGACCTGCAAGAAAAATAGCAACAGATTTGCTGAGTCATGGGCCCCACATATTTATAGTTTCTGGCAAAGGCAGACCTGCCTATCAGAGGCTGATAATACCGCAGCAGCATGTTAATTGCAAAGACGGAGTCTTCAAGCACCCATTCAGACGCCCGAGACGCTGCTTGAATAGAGTGGGGCGCTCACGACGAGAGCTGGGACACGCGAGGGCGTGGGTGGTTAGGTGTGCGTGTGCGTGCAGGTATGGGGCACCCGGCTCTGGCCGCTCAGGGGAGCCTAAGGATCACATCCACCAGACCGAAACCAGCCCACGGCACAGTGTCACGAAGCACTCTTCAATCACCTGAGGATGCCCAGGATTCCACCCACTCCACACGGGGGCAGAGTGTGGGGAGGTCAACAGGAGAGGCCATGTCCCAGGGCTGAGGGAGGCGCACAGGTGCTGGTCTGCAGAGTGAGGGACCTGCATCCCATAGCCTGGGGAGGTCAGCACCAGCGGGCCTCCTGACACACCGAGACCCCACGGGGCCTCATTACAGGGGGCGGTGGCAAGGGCAGTCGGTGCCAAGAGCGTGGGTATCATCCTGAACAAACACCCAAGGGCCAACTCGACCCTGGAGGGGAGTCTTTGCACCCTTGCCTCTGGGAGCGCGGAGAGTCACCTTGCTCTGAGTTAGGCGAGTCCAGTCCTCCCCTCCTGCAACTTCCACGTAGATGTGGTGGTCCTGCCCCCGGAGCGCTGCCCGACAGTGGCGTTAGTTATGTTCCTGTCCACTGCCACTGCCACTCCGGGGGCTCCACACGTTCCCAGCGCCTGGAGGAACAGGCCTTCAGTGAAGGCCTGCGGATGAGAAACCAAATCCCTCTAGTTCTTTGAAAGCAATTCTTGGTCCCCCGAGTCTTCTGAATCCCAAGCCGAATAGTCCCCTAGCTTGAGTTCAAGGCTCGTCCCTGGCTCGCTTGCTCTCTGCGAATGCTCCCTCTTACACTGCACCCAACCCCCACCGATGCAGAGGCCAGAAGATGGGCCCCAAAGGGATCCCGGCCTCTTTGATGCCCTCGCCTGCCTGCAGCCTTCTGCACACGCGCCTGCCTTCCAGGAGGGCAAGGGAAGTCTGGCCTCCCCTTTGCGGCAGCTGGAACACAGCCTCCTGTCCTCGACCCCTGGCTCAGCCCTCGAGAACAAAGCCGTACTCTCCCCCTTCGGGGATCTGACCGCAAAGGGGTGGTGGCCTTCAGGGACCCACAGAGCAGCAGCAGAGCAAGGCTCTACAGGGAGGGGTGACCAGGCTTTCTGCATGAGCTGAGCCTCAGTTTCTCCCAATCCTGCCCCCAAAATAGCTCGGTCACTCGCGACTGAGTTCACAGCATTCTGAAGAAGGGAGGCAGGGCAGGAGGGAGGAGGGGAGAGAAGAGAGGGACATCCTTTCAGTTCTCACTTCTCTTCAAGAGACGGTTGACTCAAGAGCTATTATTAATAGTAAATTAAATAGTGCAGTTATTCTGAATAATAAAGAGCTCTTCTGTTCCAAGTTTCCACTGTCCTCTCTCTAGGGAAATACCTGCTATGGCCTGAGACGTGGCATCCAGTGATTGGCATTTGTAGGACAAAGCTGATGCTCCTGCCATGCCCAGTCACAGACTGCCAAGTCCCCCCAAAACGCTCCTCTGCCCCAGCATCATGATGTGGGCGGAGACAGGCTTTGGGTGGCCCAGACGCCCTCCATCATCGCACCAGAGAGCCCAGTCTGTGTTCTTCTCAGGGCGGAACCTTGGCGACCGCGTCCTGCAGGCAGAGAGTGGTCCTCCCGCTTGTTAGGTGTGTGACCTTGGGCAAGACCTTTGAACCGTTCAGTTCCCTCGTCTGTAAAATGGCGATGATGACGGTGTCTCCCTCGTGAGTTTGTTAGAAGGATGAAAGTTAACGTGTGTAACGCTGTTATTACACACATAAAGTTAACAGATATAAAGGCGTTTAACCGTGCCTGGCACTTAGTAAGCGCAACGTAAGGTTTGTCAAACAGATGAGAGACTGCCGGGGTGTGTCAGGCAAGCCCAAGATCCAAGACTCCAAGCATCGGGGTCCTTGTAACTGAAACTGTCCCTCAGAGCAGGCAGCTGCTTACACCCCGGCCGGTCGTCCGATTCAGCAACTTGGTGTCCTGCCCTGCTCTGGGTCTCAGTTTCTCCAACCATGAACGGGGGATGAAGCTGTATGAGGTGACAGTTGTGGCCCAGGCTGCTCTGACCTGTAATTTATAACAACAGCTCATGCTCACTGAGCTCCTACTCTGTGTCAAGCACTGTGCTAAGTGCTTTATACTCAGTTATTTCATGTAATTCTCACAACAGCTCTATAGGTGGGCACTCTGTTCCACAGATGAAGAAATTGAGGCTCAGAGAGGTTAAGTAACTTGCCCAAGATCACACAGTTAGCAAGAGGTGGAGCTAGAGTTTCAACCCAGGTCTGCCAGACTCCACAGCCTGACGTGATGGCCTTGAGGCCATGTCACTTCACCTGGCATCACATTTGTTTCCAGGAATGTATTGTGTAACTCAGGATTGCTTGGGGTGGGGGTAGGGCACAAAAAAGAGGGGACATGTCTGAGCTGTTCCCATCCCACCCCAGGCTTAGCGGCCAAGCGGCCCTCCATTTGACACAGGTTGAATATCCTTCATCCAAAATGCTTGGACCAGAAGTATTTCCGATTCTGGATTATCTCAGATTTTGGAATATTTGCAAATACTCACTGGTTGAGCATCACAAATCTGAAAATCTGAAACCCAAAATGCACCAATGAGCATTTCCTTTGAGCATCATGTCCACACTCAAAAACTTTCAAATTTGGGAGCATTTCAGATTTTGGATTTTCGGATTTGGGATGCTTCACCTGTATCAGCTTGTCAGAGGAGGTGAGAACTCTAGCTGGGTGCCTAGGGTTGGGGGAATGCAGGGTCGAAAATGAGTCCTCCAGGCCGGGCGCGGTGGCTCACGCCCGTAATCCTAGCACTCTGGGAGGCCGAGGCGGGCGGATTGTTTGAGCTCAGGAGTTCGAGACCAGCCTGAGCAAGAGCGAGACCCTGTCTCTACCAAAAATAGAAAGAAATTAATCGGACAACTAAAAATATATAGAAAAAATTAGCCAGGCATGGTGGCGCATGCCTGTAGTCCCAGCTACTCCGGAGGCTGAGGCAGGAGGATCGCTTGAGCCCAGGAGTTTGAGGTTGCTGTGAGCTAGGCTGACGCCAAGGCACTCTACCCCGGGGCAACACAGTGAGACTCTGTCTCAAAAAAAAAAAAAAAAAAGAGTCCTCCAGAGAATGGGGAGAGGAGACCCGGGGGGCCAGGGATGGGCCTGAGCGCAGGGGAGAAGAGAGGCAGAGCTAGTGCGGAGCAGGCGCCAGCATCTGGACCGTGCGGGACCCCAGAGGGACACGGCCCATCAAAGGCCCTCCTGCTCACTCCCTCCCATCTATCCCAAGTCATCTGGTCCCTCCTGGGCCCACTTGGCTTCCCCCTCCTGCGTATCCAATGGCAGCAGCTTTTGGGGGGAACACTCTCCCCTGGGCCCCTGTGCTGTGCTGAGTCGTTGTTTATGAGGAGGAAACAAGGCCAACTGCATTTTCTAAAGAGTCTCCAGGGAGCAGCAGCCGCCTGTGAGGCTGGCGATTTGGGCCTCTCAACACCCACCACTGGGACAGTGAGCCCTGCAGGTCACAGGCAGGGTGGGGAATTCAAGCAGGGGGTGTTCCTGAGTGTGAACAAAATGTTTGACCCAGGGCAGATGGAGCACCATTTGTCCTGGGGCAGACTCGGCTGGAAGAGGGGATAGTGTGGATCAGGCCGGTCCTCAGGCCCCTGGGGTTCCCAGAGATACACGCTAACTCAGAACTGTCCTCCCCTCCATAGCAGCAAGGAGGCAGTGGCAGTAAGCTCAGGGGCTGTGGAGCCGGGAAGGAGCACTGATGAGTCCTGCCTGGGGAGGAAGATGGGAAGGACCTTCCAGACAGGGGGCAGCAAGTGAGGGGGCCCAGAGGCCCCGGAGACACAAATTTGCCCCCCGCAGGAGCTCTGTGTGGTTCAAGGGGAGAGGGTGGGAGTGCTGAGGGGTGTGGACCGAGGCAGTCACAAAGCCTGGGCGGTGCACCAGAAGCTGGGGTTCCCTGCTGAGGGCAATGAGGAGCATCAGAAGGGAGCGTCTTTTCTGCTGGCCTCTAGAGAGATCCTCTGGGACCAGCTGACCCCAGCCAGCTCTCCAGACCCCCAGCTCAAGCCCTGAGGCACCTGCGCTCCTGCCTGAGATTCCGTCCTGGGTAGAGGGTGCCGGGGACCCAGGCACCAGCTCGCATCCCTGGGACTGCAGCACAACAGAGATTCCACCAGATTTCCCTCTGGCTGGATCGCCCAGGATGGTTACGTCACATATCCGAAAATCAGTCCATATAATTAATCATGTCCATTACCAGAGAGGGAAAAGTTTTTTGATAATCTTAACAGATGCGATAAATGCATTTGATAGAACTAACGATCCATTCTGTGGAAAACTCTTAGTAGAATAAAAATAAAAACATTTCCTTGACATATCGGCAACCAACAGCAACACCATTCTTAGCAATAAAACACTAGCAAGGGGCTTCATACTTAGTCAGGGAGGGACGAGAAAGCCTGCGATTACCACAACCGTTTTACACTGTTTTGGAAGTTCTAGCCAATGCAATAGTACATTAAAAGATTTTTTTTAAAAATCACATAACATTTGGAAAGGAAGAGAAATTGCTATCATTATTTGTACGCAATATTCTTGTTTACCCAGAAAACTCAAGAGAATCAACTGAAAAACTAATAAGAGAGTATGAGAGGTCAGTAAGATAGCCGGTATCGAAATAAATACACTAGCAAAACCCAGTTAGAAACCTTAAGAGAAAGAAAAGAAAAGAAGTTCCAGAATGAGTGAGGAAGTAGCTAAGGGTACTCAAGGCTCAAGAACAAGCCTGGAGCATTTCAAGGGTCTCCTGCTGGAACCTAGCCTAGTGGGGAGTGGGGAGGAAGGTGGGGAGCACGGGCGGAAGCTGGACAGGGCAGGGAAAGGGGGAGGAAGAGGATATCTTGGAACATCTTCCCCAGCTGGTAACAGTTGGGCTTGGGCTGGGAACTGCCCTTTTGGGGGAATATGCAGCCCTTTGGGCCTGGTTCCCAGCAGCCCTGACAGACAGCTGCTCAGGGCAGTGGGGCGCAGGCAGTTCCAAATGGTTCTCTGAGCCTGGACTCACTCAGGGGCAGTACCTGCCTGCTGGGGCTCCAGGCTGCAGGGGGTACCAGGCAGGCAATGACAGACCCTCACAGAGAACTGTCATCCACCACCACGGGGCATAGACTCCAGCAAGTGAGATTCCAGCTGAAAGAGCGTCTTGAACATCTGATGGGCTGATTACAAATTGCTCTTCTGGATTCGTTAAAGCAGATGCCCAAGAGAACCTGTCCACGGCAAAGGGCACACCCAGCCAGCCTCCGAGCTCCACTCTGTGTCAGGGGCTCACTCCTCAGCTCTCGGCCTCCAGGCTCCCGGCAACCCGGCAACCCGGCCTTGTCTTGCTTGGGGTCGTGCGATTCCCCTGGGGGCATCTGGCAGGGCTGCGGTGCACAGGCGCTGGCTGCAAAGCTCCCAGGGCCCATTCTGAAGAAGTGAAGTTTGCAGATTTTTCCTCCATCCGTGGCACGAGCACGGCACGACGACGTGCGCGTACAGCTCATCACACAAGGGGTAATCGCTGCGTTTTCCAGCACTCACACTCAGAGAAGGCCACAGCCAAAGATGCCTGCGGCAGCTGGCCAACGTTTCAGGGTAGCAAACTCTCTCCTTCCCCGCCCACCCCCACGTTCTCTTTTGTCCTCACTCCCAGGCCCCATCTGCACCAAAACAAAAACAAACAAACAACAAAACCCTCACTCACAGCACTCACTGCCCAAGCCTCTGCTCCACTGCCCCTGCCCAGGGACGGGACAACTACTTCCCAGGTGAAATGTTGCCATTTAGAGGAAGGCTGGTGCAAAGCAACGGAGCTTCCGTGATAGAATTTTAGGACAATGTGTGGGGGTATTTTAGTCACTGAATTATGTGAGGATCAAATGATTCAGTGCCTGAAAGCTGGAAATTAATGAGGGCGACGCAGGGCTTCAAACCTCTCAAGCAGGCTGTGGCTGCTGAGTGGTGGGGAGGAGGGAGGAAGCCAATATATACCGAGCTCCCGCTAGGTGCTTCCCCGACGATGTCTCCTGTGATCCGCACCCACAGGGCACAGACATTATTTACACCTGGATGCAAACCCCAGTCACCTGGATTCCACAGTCCTGTGTTCTCGGGCCCTGGCGGCTCCTGAGAAAAGCGAGCTTTAGAGGGCCAGCCCGGACTCCGAGCCGGTGCTCAGGGCCTTCTCGTTTCAAGCTCAGCCCCGTGCTCTGTGGCTCACTGCCGTGGTGCCCAGAATTACCCTACGGAGGCCTCCTATCTTGGGACCAGAACTGTCCTCCTATGGATGCCCTGTGACCATACAGATGTCCCTGCAAGGGGCCACACTCAGCGGTAGGGAACTCTTCAGGCTGGTCGGGGTGGCGCAGAAAGGAAAGGGGGCACAGGCTTCTGTTCCAGGTCTGGCCCGACACGCTCCAGCCCCCACCCTGCCTTCTCCTGCAAGCTCACTGATTACCTGGAGTCCTCCTCCCCAAGCCCAGAGTCCGGGAGAAGACTCTGGGAGGTGGGTTTGTTTGGCCTCATTCACCAAGTCCCCCTGGCTCCTTGGTCTTGTCACCATGGAAACCTCGTGAGGTCACCAGCACCATTAAAATAAGAGAAAAAAATGTCTCTCCCTCCCCTAAGGGGAGCCCCCCTGCTTGGCTCCGGGGCTTCTGTGGAGGAGTGGGGAGGGCAGGGGGCAGACTGAGGGGAGAGAGCCAGCCCCATCTTAGGGGTGGATTAACCCCTCGATGCCCAGGATGCTGTCTGCTCCTCTCCCGCCTCCCACCTCCCTCAAGTTTCTCAGGCATCCTTGCCGGGAAGATTGACTCCTGCCTCCTGTGCACACACCGAAGCTGCTCCTGGAATAGTGGGGACGGGGCTCTTCCCAGGAAGTGCTGCTGAGATCTGGGGAGCTGGGAGAGGCAGGCAGCAGGGGACAGAAGCGGGAGCTGGAGTTCTGGGCCATGCTCCAGACTCTTCTCCCTCGCAAAGGCTAGAGTAGGAGCTGCTGGTGCAGCAGTGGAGGGCGTGGGGTCCTCCCCATGCCCACGGGCTCTAAGAGTGGCACAGGCCATTCACACCTTCTTCTATGCGGCCAACAGACCTGGGACGCTTGCCCACACTGGAGGGAGCCCAGCCCTCCGTCTGCCCCCTTTGAGGCCAGCAGTAGGGCCGACAGCCCAGCTCCTCATACTCTTCTCCTCCGTCGTGCAGGCTGTCCAGCTCTGGCCCGTCCCCCTCCCGGGGTCCATAACGTCTCTCCGTGCTGCCCTCCGGGAATCCCTGTTTGCCACTTGCAAGACCCTTCCCAGCACCGCCCCCTGCTGAATTTCTCCCCCACCGTCCCCTCTGGCCTGCGGGTCTCCGCACCGTCCCAGAGTAGAGTACACTGCTTCCTTTCCTCACGTTCCCGAGACAGCCTCTCCTCCCTTCGTGTCTCTTTCAGTCCTCTATTATGTCCTCAGCACGCCACCACTGTCACCCGCTGCCACGCTGCCTCCTGCCTCCACCGCGTCTTACACTGTCGCACTGCCCCACAGCCAGTGCCATCACCGCCACCTCCACCTCCACTGCCACCACCTTTTCTACCGTCACACTGCACCCACCGTCACCACAACTGTCAATACCACCACCGCCCCTGTCTCTATCATTGCCACTGTCCTCACCATCGCCACACTGTGACCTGTCACCACCATCCCTCACCTTCACGAATAGCACGCCGTCAGGACCACACATCACTCCTTCGCCAGCATGTGCTCCTCTCCGCTGTCACTGGAGGGAAATGAGGACTTCCTTCACTAAGTCAATCGAGCATCAATTTCAACCCCTTCCGGGGAGGCCTCAAAAGAACCCGCGCAGGTGTGGGGCAGTGGGATCTCCTGGCCCGTTCTTGCCCCCTGGGGTTCTGCATCCTTTGGGGGATCTCTCGTTAGTCGCCATTGTTGCCACCAAACTGGCCTCGGGAGCGCTTTCTTTAATGTCTCCAGGTGCAGCCG